ATTGTAAATTCAAGGACAGTGTGAACGATATAGAAACCCTGTCTCAAAAATAAAATTTAAAAAAAATTCTAACTCAAAAAAAGAAAAATGAAAACTAATACAAATACTTTAATATCTTTTTAAGCACCGCAATTTGAATTCCTTTTGAATGATATACATGCCCTTCCTTATACATTTTTTGAATAGTTCAATTTTTATGCAGTGAAACTAGTTCAGTGGCATTTTCTAATTTTTATGAACTTTTCTAATTTACCACTGTTTGTACAGAGCAAACACTAACACTGAACTTTTTCGGCATTCTTTCCGTTGAGGCATGGTAGCTTAGTGGTTTAAATACTTAAACTGGAATTTCAGGATCACTATGGCAGTAGGACCCTGAAGATAATCACTCAACCTAAAGCCTTTGTTTCCCCATTTGAAAACAAGTGCAATACTTCAATTATTAGATTCTGGTAAGGATTTAACAAAATAACAGTACAGCCTCTAACAGAGGACACAATTAACATTAACTTCTTTCAAAGTTTATGTTATATAGTGAATGTTTGAGTGCCCCCATCACCAGATTCATAAACTGAGGCCCTAACCTCCCAGTGTTAAGGTTACTGGAGGTGAGCCTTTGACAGGTAATTACATTTTGTTTAGGACCTGAAGGTGGGCTCTTATAATGGGATTTGTGCCCTTATAAGACAAAAAAGAACTCTCCCTTTTTCTTTTTCCCTTCCTCTCTCCCGCTCCCTCTTTCTCATTCCTTCCCTCCACCTTCAGGCACCAGAGGAAATTTTAGAAGACCACACAGTTAAAAAGAGAAGTACCTACAAATGAGAAAGAAGATCCTCACTTGAACTCAACCAAGGTAACCTCAGACTTCTGGACTCAAGAATTGTGAGAAAATGTTTTAGTCACCCAGTGTATGGTATTTGTTATAGAAGCCCAAGAAGACTGGGATTGATTACAATAAATATTTTTAAAAAGAGACTTTAGAAAGCAAGGTATTTTCATGTCATTCCAACATGCCATGGATCTATAAATTTACCTCCTGAAAGACAGAATGTTACTGTTGTATGATACTGCAGAACATAACAACATTATCAGACTTATTGGTAAATGTCTATTGATTTTCCTAGTAGGCCAACAGGGAGAGCAAAATAAGAATAAGAACAGAAAGATACACTCAAAACCTTTTTTTTGGCCCTTGGCAATTCCACTTGGTCAATATTTTGCAGACAACAGAAGCAAGCACCAAAAAAAAAAAAAAAGTAAATACCAACTATACTGTGAGCAAAATAATGAAAAAGAATCCACTAATGATAGTAAGAATTCTCTTTTTTTTTTTTTTTTTTTGTAGGATTGGGGTTTGAACTCAGGGCTTCATGCTTGCAAAGCAGGTGCTCTACAGCTTGAGTCATACCTACAATCCATTTTGCTCTGGTTATTTTGGAGATGGGGTCTCGAGAACTATTTTACCCAGCTGTCCTCAAACTATGATCCTCCAGATCTCAGCCTCACAAGTAGCTAGGATTACAGGCGTGAGTCACCAGGCCTTGAGACAATAAAAATTCTTAAAAGCCAGTCTAATGAATCCTTTCTCTAGTAGTTCAAAGAAACTGGTAACATTACAGATTGCTAGTGAGCTATACAAAGTTTTCTAGCATAGGCAGTGTTTTACTTCACAAATGCTATACAAAGCACATTTTGAATACCATAAGCCTATTGCTTACCTTCAGCATTTACAATGCAAAATGCCATAATCACTTTATAAAAAATACTTTAAATAACTTTCCTATTTAAAGGTTTAAAATTACCCATTTAAAATTCAAAAGAACCTAAAATTGTTCTTCCTTTCCATATACAAAAGGAGAGACTACCCTAGAGAATTTTTTTATAACCTGGATTTAACATATAATGGCTTTTTTTTCCCCTAGTACTGCAATATATTCAATAAAGTAACTATCCACCTTGGAAATAAAAATGCCATGTAGAAGAATGGCAGGACATGATTTTATAATTTTATAAGGACTAGGGAATAGCAATAAAGATTTAAAGTGCAATGCCTTATAAACATTCAGCACTATTAAAGAAAATGGGGAATAATGTGTATTCACAGATAACTTTTTTTACATTAAGGGACAATTCTTCACTTCTGAAGAGCTTCCTCAGTAGCCATTATAGCTTCTACTATTCACAATAAAATATTTGTGCTGCTTTTCAATTAGTACTATCTCACCAATGAAAGGAAAGGAGGAAAATGTATTACAGAAAGAATGAGAAAAAACAAGCCTTGATAGAGCAAAATAAATGATTCTATATGCCATCTCTTTCCACCACAGGACTGAATCAGTATCTGAAAATTAGATGTATCAACAGACATATATTAAAATCTCCTTTGTCAACATATAACCTTTGATACACAGTAACTGCAGTTTAAAATTTCCACTTTTCATAAAACAAGGACTTATTAGAAAGTAGGTGTATAAACCTACCTCACACAATAAATCAATTCCTCCAATTTCATTTTTCCTTACTGTGCATGCATCTCTTCCTTTTGTCTTTCTGTTAGTCAGTATGCATGACAGGCTACAATTTTTTAAATACCTAAGACAAAAAGTTATTTTATTGGGCCTAATCAAAGGATGAGAATAACTAATATATTTTGTAAAACCTTTTTTTATAATAGGCAATTTAAGACATTAACAAGACTTTAATTCCAAATTTACTTTTTTTTTTTTTGATCGTAGAAGTAACGTGAAAATTTGCAGAAATAGAAAAAAACGTAATCAACAATAAATCCCACTATCCAGAAACGTTTAACTTTCTGGTAGATTTCCTGACAGAGACACAAATTTTGATTCTCTAAGCAGACAGTAATAAATATGCAGTTTAAAAAAATGTACCCTCAATATGGCCTTTTGATAAACATTATCTAAAACATCAAGTATGACATGTTAATTTCAAAGGTCTCCAAAATGTTTGTGTTGGGGTGGGGTAGGAAGGGAGTCCCAAAATTCAGAGAATGGTCCCTAAACTGAAATTTCCTAATTTTTATAGTGTCAACACTTTAATAGCAGCAAACTGCAAGACATGACTGTTTTTACAGTGACACCATCAAAAGTCCCTATATCGAACAGGCTTTACTTTTACTTTCTTTTATCCATATTTCAGTAATGTTTTTATTTTCATTGTAAAACAATCAAATAATATTAGCATTTAATTTTAAAGCAGCTTAAATTCAAAGACTCAGCGGTTTTTCTTTGAAGCATAGCATTCAAACTGTTAGTGCCTTTGGCCTATGACATGGTTTACCAGATAAAAGGACAACACTCTACATTTCAGTATTTTCTCATAACATTAAAAAATAAAAGGAATACTCCTTAAACAGTCACATTTTTCTTTGTTCTCACCCATTATTTATGGAACTATGCAGATGTCAGAATTAAAAAGACTGAATGACTTCATCAAACAAAGCAACACCCCAACGTTTAAGAAGCAAGCCAACTCCTGAAACTCAAAAAGAACAAAATAAAACCAGTGATATCCCCACGAGCAATTCTTTTTCCTAAAATTTAGCTTAGCCTTATTTCTAGCTTGAAGGGAAGTTTAGGTCAACTCAAGGGATCAAAGGTCTTAAAATCCCGTATATTTTCTTCTGCTCAATGGTTAACGAAGTCAACACAGTAACTCACATTTGTTACTTTGATCTTGTGGCACAAATGACTTTTAAAAGAAATCCTTCAACAAAGACTTTTTAAAAAAGAAAGAAAAAGAAAAAGTAAAGTTTAAGGCAAGAACTGTCTATCTTTAAGTCAAGCATTTCCTGTTAAGTGACAGAAGGTCTGGCTGACAGGAACACACTTTGCTGACCCTAGGAATGACCAAGACTCAAAACAAAATTTGTTACTTCTGTGTCTAGAAAATCAATTTGGCTAAGAGGCCATAAAAACATGACCAACAACGCGTCTTCGGTGGACAGATTAACATAAAGGAGAGGCGCCACGGATTTCAGCTAAATGCTTTTGCCATTTTTGCAGAAGAAAAGCTAATTGTTAATGGCCATGTGACATTGGCGCTCCCAGAAGGGAAAGGGTGGGAGGAAGAGAGAGGAGTTCAAGGCAGTTCAGGGTCAGAACAAGCTCAGGCATCCTGTCATTAGCAAACGTTCACCGAGCTGAAGGCAAAATACTGCTTACCCGAAAAGGAGTGGGTGAGAACTAGCGAGAATGAAGGGGGAAACCACAGGGGAGTCAATGTGGCAGTGTGGGGTGATGGGAGGAGAATCTGGAGCTATCCAGCTGAGTTGGGGAGCAAAAAAAAGCACCGGGCACAAAAACGCTGAGAAAAGCGACTGCAGCCAAGGCGACACTTGACCCCCCGCCCCCTTCCCCACTCGCCCCACCCCCGCCATGGGTTCTTAGGGTTTCCCACCTTCCTGCACCTCGGCTCTAGACCAACACTCCGGGGTGTGACCCGCCAGCAGGAGGCCGCCCCGATCTTTGTCTCGACGCGCCCCCCACGCGCGGGCTCCTCCTCCTGCTCCAGCTCCGCGCTCCCACCCGCGCACGGCCCCTGCGTCTCCAAGGAGCCCGGAGCGCCACCGCCTGCTCGCCCACCTCCCGCCGACCCGCGCCCCTTCCTGCCCCTCCCGGGCGCCTCCAGCTCCACCCCCGCCGAGGGGACCTTTGTGTCTCGGGGGACTTTCCGCCTCCTCTCCTCCTCCGCCTCCCCGGAGACCAAAGCGGCAGCAAGCCCCGGAGGCGGCGGCACCGGGAAGACTCCCTAACCCCACCCCACCCCACCCCACCCTTGGATATGCCCAGGCGACCGGGGGTCCGCGCCGGACCCGACGAGTGACAGGCACACACGAGCCCCAGCGCCAAGCCGCCTCTCTCAACTTCGCCGCCGGGCCTGAGCCTCCTGCGGCCCCCCGTATCTCCCCCTCCCGGCCATGGGCGCACCCCCTTGCGGACCCGGCAGCAGGGGACAGGGTGGCTCGGTCGCCAACTCACCAGCAAGTGCGGGGACCGCGTCCCGAGGCGAGGCGCGAAGGGAAAGCGGCTCCGCCGACGCCCGCGGCAACCGGATGCAGGTCCGGGTCCCAGCGGCCGGCAGCCCCGAGGCGCCTTCGCCGCGGCGCAGGCCTCCGCCGCCGCAGCCGTCTTCCGGCTCCGGCCGAGGGTGCGGAGCTCCAGGGAGGGCCCGAGGGGGGGTCTCACGCGCGGCCGAACCCCCTGGTCAACATGGCTCCCGGGCCGTAGAGCCGCGCGGGCGGCCCACTAATCCCCGCTGAGAAACCGGGGCGGGAGCGAGACGGCCCGGCCCGGCTCCTTCTCCACGGCTGTGGGATTGGACCGTGCGGCGCTGAAAGAGAGCGCGGCAGCTGCTTTCGCTCTCTGCGTGTGCGTCGCTTTCGTACTCGGCAGCTGCGGCTTGACGCCTCCGCCTGTTCCTCGGAGAAGAGCGAGCGAGCGAGCGAGCGAGCGAGCAGAAAGACTTTTATTGAACCGATCCAACCAGCAGCGGCGGAGAAAGACGGCCGGCCACGGGAGCTTCCCTCACCCCCGCCTGTGCCGCTCGCCACGGGCAGCGCGACCCCTGCCGGCGGCGGCGGCGGCGGCGGGGGCGGGGCCTGAGAGTCGGGGCGGGGCGTGGTAGCCTCTGGAAACCGCGTCCCCAAGGTGGGCACCTGGGTGTCCCCAGCCTGTCTTCTGGGGCAGTGCGAGTGGCGAGGAGACCCACAGAAGTGGGAAGGCTGGGCAGTACCTGTCCACAGCGACTGGGGAAGAAATTCTCTGAATAATTCAGTCCTTTCATCTTCCCCCACACCCTGTCCCAACCAAAACCAATTTGAATTATCCGTGTCCAGTACAGATAGCTGGCTTTCCAGAGAGTTGATGTCAAAGGACCCGCGCTGAAGCCTGCTGGTCGCTGCAACTTTTCTCCTGCGTGTGTCGGGTGGGTGAATGGGTGCTAGTGCATCCATCCTTCGTGCATGCAGCATTTGCTGATTTAAATTCCAACGTTTTCTACAGATTTTTACATTCTTGACGCGCGTCTAGGCTGTCAAAGGGCTGAGGGTCTCGCCAGGATGAAAGACAAAGAGTTACAATGAAAATCCGAGCGTTGAGAGAAGGGAAATTCCACGTGCTATGAGAACAGAAAGGACTACGGTCGCAGTTGGTTAGGTTTTGTTTTCTTGGGGGAGGCGGGCCTTGAGAGGCTGGCCCAGTTTCTGGGTATGTTTTTAGTTTTTTTCTTTCCCAGAGGCCAAAAGCAAGTTCAGGAATGCACAGCCGAGTGAAAGTGAAGACAAACTAAAAGTAATACTGACCCACTTTTTTTCCACAAATAAGGATAAAAGCATAAGGTAAAAACAAACTTAAACCCCTAGAGGGAGATAATAAAAGAATAGGGACCGGATGTAGACAACCTAAACAAGAAAAGAAAAAAACAAACTTAACCACATGAAAGGCCTGTGAAGTGAGATATAAAAATATGTTTTTCCATTTTAACACCCGGAAGTAGACAATACATTTTAAATGCAATTTCAAGTCACATTATGGCCTAAGGACTTTTGACAATTGTCATCTTAGATTCCTGGGTGAATCCTTTCCCTCTTGAAATCACTACCTACTGTTTTCTTTCTCTTATTTTGTTGGGCAAAGTTACATGTATCTGCTGTTAATATCCAACCACACGTGTCAACCAGACTTCTCCTGTGCCTCTAAAATTACCAGGATTCATAAATTAGCAACAAATACACTCCACACATATTTACTATTCAAGAATGCAAATGTATGTAACAAGCTTTTCTTTAGAATGAGTGTGCACTTTCAAAAACCACTGTTAGTGATGCCTTTAGAGTTGTCCAAGTCAAAGAACTTTATTATATAGCAAGAAGTAGCATCATTTTCAGTTCTTTTTAAGTGAGAAAGAAAAATTTTGTTTGTACATGACCTACTTGTAGGCCAAGTATTTTTATTTAAAAAAAATTGTATGTCTTTTTATCCTCTTAGTAAATATTCAAAAATCACCAAAAAGAGTCTACAAAATTGCATCCTAAGTTTCAGCATCAATAATTGCTCCTACTGGTGGCTTATGCCTGTAATCCTAGCTACTCAGGAGGCAGTGATCAGGAGGATCATGGTTCAAAGCCAGTCTGGGCAAATAGTTTGCAAGACTTTTATCTCGAAAATACCCAACACAAAAAAAAAGGCTGGCAGAGTGGCTCAAGTGATAGAGTGCCTGCCTTGCAAGTGTGAGGCCCTGAGTTCAAAACCCCAGTATTATCAAAACATATGAATAAGTAGTAAATAAATAAAATTCCCCCTTCATATCATCAGACTGCAATTATCCCATTGGAAGTAAAAAGATTATTCTAACTGCCTCATCTAAATCTGTTGAAGTGTATTCTCTTCTCTTCCTACCACAGCACCACCATAGAAATGTGATCATTAGAACCTGGATCACATTTCTATTTCTTATTTTATTGATCTATTTGTTCTTTCAATCAAAAAAATTTACTAATTGCACATAATGTGCCAGGTACGCTGCTAAACATTGAAGATGTAGATAGTGGTGAACAAAATAGGCAAGGTGTTGGCCTTGTGGAACTGAAATAAGCAGTAAACGTGTAAATCACTTGAGGGATTCATGCATAATTTATAATCCTGACAGATGAAGAAAACGAAGGAGTAATGGAAACAAAATGGAAAGGGGAGGTGAACTGGGATCTTTTAGATGGCAAAATCAGGAAAGTTCTGATGGCCAGCAGAGGCTAAAGCTGTGGGCTTTTTCTTTATATCACTCAGTAAATTATTTGATGAGACAAGGTCACAGAACAATCAAAACAATGGATGAGGGCATTTGTTTAATTATTTTTCAAAACCGATTTTAAATTTTGAGTGTGTTGATTGGTCTTTTCACTAGGTTGCAATATAGGGGTTTGTTTTGTTTTGTTTTATTTTTACCTTATAAAATAAAACTATAGTGCTGGGGCTACCGCGCCTGAACCATGAAGCCCCACTCTTACTGCAGCATGGACAGCAGGTGGGTTGAAGACGATATGCCTATAAGCACGGTGTATCGAGGACTTTCTTCTACAGTTTAACTCTCTGCGGAGATAGGAAAGAACGAAAAGGAGCTCTACCATGGAATCCCAAGAAGCAAAGTCCACCAAAAAAGCCTGCCCAAGCAGTGCTCACGCAACCCCAGTGTCACCGAGCAGACTGACAGCATCACTTACGCCTTCTGACACATGGACCCAAACCTCTCCAAGTTCAGGGTGTCTCAGCCCTCTGGGCATGGAGCACTCAGCTCAGTTAACCCTATGTCGTTGTGGCTAAGTGCTTACCTGCAAAGTTGGGAAAACTCTTATTATCTGGGCCCATTCCCTATTTCGTTAGAATGAATCTTACAGAAAGTCTGGGGGGTTTTTTGTGGGAAAAAATTCTAGCTACTAAGGAGGCAGAGATCAGGTAGATAAGCGGTTTGAAGCCATCCCGGGCAAATAGTTTTCAAGACTATCTCAAAGAAACCCATCACAAAAAAAAAAAAAAGGGCTAGTGGAGTGGCTTAAGGTGTAGGCCCTGAGTTCAAGCCCCAGTACCACAAAAAAAAAAAAAAGAAAAAAAGACTGAGAAGAAATTAATTACCTCCTCCCTCTCTCCCTTCTTTCCTTCCTTCCTCCTTCCTTCCTTTTTTCTTTCTCTCCTTCCTTCTCTGCCTTCTTCCTTCTTTCTCTCCTTCCTTCCTTCCTTCCCTCCCTTATCTAAATTGATGTTTTGTCTGCTCTTAATCAAATAAAACACATCTAAAGCTTATCTGAACATCCTCCCAAAATGAAGCCCATCATGAAACCAGCTTTAAGATTTTTAAAAATTCCTCACTTTTTTTTTTTTTTTAAACTGTTGAAAAGTGAGCACTGGGATAGTACAGGTTTTCTGTTAGACCTCATTGAAAATGACAGGACAATTGGCCCTTTTCCCAGGGGAAAATGATCAATGAGCATTGATCTTTTTTTTTTTCTTTGTAAAGAATGAGGGAAAGGAAGCAATAGTGGCCTTATAGTTTGTTATCTTGAAATTTTCCCCAGTGGCTTGCTTTTAGGTCAGTTGATCCAATTGATTTGAAGACTTCTAATTCTTAGCCATTCCTCAAAAGATCAAGTTTTCAGTAAAATAAACTTTGCCTTGCCCACGCCAACATCGACACCTCAGAACACTTTCAGAGTAGATACAACCTGTAAAGAGGAGAGTAGAGCAAATATTTGGTATTTAGACATTGGAAAAATAAAAAATGAGGAAGAGGGAAAGAAGACACGAAAGATAAGAAGCAGGGGGAAAGGAGGAGGAGAATTAAGCCTTATAAATATAATTTTACTTCAGCAATAAGGAAGATGCAAATGTTAACACAAAGCTAAGCAGGTCAGGGTTCTAGCCCTGAGCAGTATTACACAATTGTTGGGCTTTGCAAGCACTTGGATTGGATGGGAGTTCTAGCTTTGCCACTAGATGTTGGTAGGTTACTTAATCAAGAGTTTCCCCATATATAATCTTGGGATAATAATATACCTGCTAGGTTATAAGAATTAAATGAGATAATGAATGTAATGCATTGTATTGTGATTTTTTTTTTTTCTGCCATAAGTGACATGAACAGCAACTCAAGTAACTTGTTACAAAAGGAGATTTTTTTTTTTTTTTAATGACTAAAAAGGCCAAGGGAAGTGCAGGCTTCGGGGATGTCTTAGCCAACAGCCCACATGATGTTGTCAAAACCTGGTTTCTCTCCTCTTGGTTCTGCCTTTGGCAATCTTGGCTCGTCCACCCACTAGGTCAACAGAATCTCACAGTAGCATAAACATTAGCTCTAATTGGCCCCAGCTTGAATCATTTTCACTCTGGCCAAGGTAGTTGAGTAGCTGGCTAGGACCTAGATATGTGTTTTACCCCAAAAGCCAGGGTAGAATCTGTTTTACCTGAATCATGTGTGCTGAGAGTATTAGAAGAAATGTCCCCCCCAAACAAAAAAAGGGTACTCTTACAATAAGTAAGGAAGTGCCCATAGGAAACCCACCTAATAAAATGCAAAAACCAGGGATGAAGAAACTTTGTCATCAGCTAGTTCCGGGAGACCCACCATGGAACATGGTTGCTCTGTCTCTGATCTGGGCCTCAGTTTATGTGCCAACATCATTTTTCCAAATTCACTGAAAGTTTTGGAATTATACCCTCATAGTTCCTTCAGTGATTTGAGTAGGTATCCCCCAGATGCTTATGTGTCAAAAGTTTAGTCCTCAGCCTATGGTACTGTTGGAAGGTAGTAGAACCTTTAAGACATAGAGCCTACTGGAAGTAAGTTAGGTCACTATGTGAGCATGTCCTTGAAAGGGATATTAGAATCCTGGCCCATTCCTCTCTCTCTTTGTTTCTCAGCTGCCCTGAGGTAGAAAGGTCTCCTCGAAAACAAAACAAAACAAAAAAAAAATAGAAAGGTCTTCTGGAGCGTGTACTCCCACCATGGTGCCCTGTGCTGCCACCAACCCAAAGCAACA